TGAGTAGTTTCTCTCTGTGTCTCATCTGAAAGGCACCATAGAAAAATAAACTTTGATGAAATAAACTTTTTGTGGGTTTTCCTTAGACCTCCATAGCTACACTCTGGCAAACAAGAAAACAGCATTATTTTTTTTCTTCCAGAATGGTCTTTGAGGGTTTTCCATCAGAGAATGGACAAGGCCTGSAAAAAGAAAAGGCAGGGAAGCCCCCAACAGAGTACTCATTTGGTGCCAGCCCTTACACTGGGATTCCTTTCTTCCCTTTCTGTTCCCTTACCTTCCTGCAGTTGTGCTTGGTGTCTATYCCAGCTGTTCCATGACTGGRAGGACACAGCTTTTGTGTCTTCCAYACCYCCTGGTACCCTACAGCSTGGAAYTGGAGTAACACTGAAACATGACATTTCTTTGTGCCAAGCTATTCCTCTTGATGCTRACCCAGATGAGCTCTGTCTTGAAAGCTTAAGCAGCTGGGAAAGGTTATAAAAGTGAGGGAGAGTACTTATGACATTGCTTCCAATGAGGGTGAGAGTAATTTAGACTTTCCTTGGTCATTCAAATGATMTCTCATTAAACATCAGACAAAACTGCCCTGCTGTGGTTACACAGCTGTATTGTGGGACTGCAGCAAATAATTTTCTATGCTGGAGTAGGATAAGCAGTGTTTACTTRGGTGTGGTCTAGTGTAAAGCTCCATCTGTACCTTTCTCATTGTTATCTCAGCTCTGTGGCTTAAGGAACGTATTTCCTGTACCCACTACTAAGATTTTCTGCTCAATCTTTCTTCTTCAGCACAGAAGAGAGAGACTCCCTGATGCTGTGTTTAACCTATTTCTCTTTAAGCCTTGTGTTTCTTAGGATGACACAGAGTCATCTCTTTATGCTCTGCTGAAGGGCAGTGATAGTCGTGTGGAGGAAATCAGGAGGAATCAGGAGGAATTTTGGTAGCTGGAATCTGCTACCAAGGCGGTTGTTTCTTCTGCTGCCTTTACTTGATGTGACTAAAACCCAACTGCTCGGAGACTGGCCCTGTGTCCTGTGTCCATTAATGATCCTTCGTGCCCCTCTTCCTCTGGCAGTTACTGACCTTCCCCCTTTCTTCCAGAGGCAGTCTCTGGTGTTAAGAAGACAGTGGTTTGTTTTAGATTTGAAAAACACTGAATTTCAGAGAAGATGCAGTGCTGCAGTTTGCTTTCCATGCATTACCCTGTATTTTGCTGGATAGATTCTGTAGTGCTCCAGTAATGGAGAGTTAAATCTGTCTTTGATGAGTTTTGACACCCCTCATATCAGGGGGTTGAAGGCTTTGGCTAAGGTGCCTATTCCTTAAAGCCATATTGTATAGGATAAATATGTGACTCTGGCTCCCTASACATTAATCTAATTATTTATAATCTCATTCCAGCTTTGTGAACAAAGTCCTTTCTTTACCCCAGATTCATGGTGAAAATACAGAAAAGACATTTATTTGTCTGATATTGTGGAATATGCGCATGACTTGGGGCAGAATAGAAGTCAGAATTTCTGGATATTCTATCTAACTATGTGAATTGGGGGAAAACAAAAGCCTACTGGTGTMTGTGCTTCCCTGTCTGTAAAACAGGGAATTGGATATATTCCTGTCGTATGGGATATATAATTACAAARTCTGTGACAAATCTTAGAAATTCAACTGTGAGATAGTGTGTAAGCACATAATATTAATGTTTTATGTTCTCTCTAAACTGTTTCTAGGGACATCTTTAATGAGAAGGATTTAGTGAGATCAAAATAAACCTTTTTTCACCCGAAACTTTTTTTTTGAACCCAAAGTAAAATKGTTTGCACCAACTGCCATCTCTGAAACCATCTGGAAAATCACATTTTCTGAAGCTTTCCTTCTCTTTATCATCTGTAACTAAAGCTGTAAAATGGGAAGACATCCCTGGTTTAATTAACACCCCTGTAGTTCAAAAGCTGATCTTAGTAATGAGAGGCAATTTCAGCCTTTATTGAGGGACAGTCAGGTGGAACTAACCSAGCATCAGTCTGGTGAAGACACTTCACTTTCTAGGTAATTTGGAAATGGCTTTTTATGATGAACAGACTACATGGCTCAACTCAACAGGTGAACCTATTTCATTTATAACCAGGAAAAGAATCTCCTATTTTGAGGTTTGTGCTTCTTTTGTAAATTAGTTTTTATATCCCATCCGTCAACAACTGCCAACTGACCTAAGAATAAACCTTTTGCTTTTTGAAGGGGATTCTTGCTGATTTTATTGTTTTATTTTCTTGTCCCATTTTGCTTTACGTTTTGAAGGTTGCTTGGTGTTCATATTTTAGTGTAAGTGTGGACTTCGAGGTGCACTCCCGTCCTAAGGGGAAGACAGAGTTCTGATTTCTGCTCCTCAACAGTGCTGTGGCAGAGCTACAGAAGGTCCAGAGAAGGACATGGAAATGATCGAGGAAATGTGACTTCTGCTGTATGAATTAAAAAGGTTGTGGCTTCTATTTAGACAGGGAAAAATTGAGAGCAGAGATAAAGCTGAGTTTAGCTGAAAACATGAAGGTGGTAGATAAGGAAGATTTAGAGCTTCAGTATGTAGCTAAGGTATTGTAGCTGAAACAAAGAGATATCCTTGAAATTAAAACGTACTTTTCTACATAGCAGCTACTGAACTTCTGGAATTTGTTGCCACAGGAGATTGAGGAGGTATGCAGTGTCAACAGCTTCTAAAAAGGATTTGACAAATTAAGAGCAGCAGGTCCATGACCTGAGTCTAAAGGTGATGGACAGGGCTCCTCAGTGGTCTTGCCTCAGKGGTATCTCAGGTCAAGTCTGTCTTCCACCTTTAAATCTCTAAAAGTTTGGCTCTGCTGAGTGCCCTGTGTTTTATCTGCCAGCCCTCTGTGGGTGTCCTGATATCTCAGGGGTCTGGTATGAAGTTAGACAACTCTGGAAAACTGATTTGAACCCTCAGTATCTCCAGGGGTGTCAATGAAGGGGTACCTACACTGAGTGCAAATGAGGGGTGTCAAAACTCAGGCACCTACACTGGAGAGACAGTCACTGAAGGTGACTATTACCATTAGGATGTCCTCATTTGGCTGTTCACAGGTAGTTATCTGCCAGTGCTGTAGGTGTCTAAATTCTTCTCTAGCCAACAGATGTCTAGTCAGTCTAATGGGGAGTTAATGAATATGATCTATGAACAGTCAGAACTGTTGTTTCATCTTGCCACACTTGGGATGGTCAGTTAAATAACTCAATACTGCCCATTTTCGTAGAATTTTTGTTGCCTGTCATGTGAATTTGGATACATAGAACACATGTAGATGTCTAAATATGGGTATTTTAATCTTGAACAGAGTTCTGTCCTAAGATTTCTTTTATAATGATTGCAGACAAATAGTTGTATCCTCAGAATAACTCACTGACCTGTTTTAGACACCTCTATGCACATGCTCTTGTGAAGTACATATTTCTACTCACTGACTTTAAAGGGACTCTAGATAGTGGTACCTGTATGGTGAATGCACACCATGGCCAGATGGGTCCCAGCCATCCCATTTTGGAGACTTTGGTACAGTCCCTTGAAATCTCAGCTGTAAGAAATGTAGATTTTTAAAGTAATGTAGTGTGAAAGAGCGAAATTATAATTTCAAAACAACCTACCACTTATGGTTTGATTTAGAATAAAGGCTTAGCCATGATTTTGCCATCTGAAAAGTGGGGTGAAATGTGGTGCATCCTCTGTCCTGGATTAGTTTTAACATACTGATGAAATTGCCTTTATCATACTGTCAAAGTTKTAAAACTCTGGCACAAGCTGGTAAGTTGTTTGTTCTTCCAGTGAGGAAAGATAGAGCAGACATTAAACCCCTAAAGTGCTGTGGTGTTCCAGCAATGAGTGACTTTCATAAGTTGTCTTGGAGAAAGGCTTGTTCAGTATGGAATAGTTTGAAAAGRAATTTCTTTGACTTGGTGGATCTGGATGTTGTGAACTCCATGCCGTCAAAAGACACAGAATCTGGAGGCCATCATTGTACTCTGGTTTTGGGACAGGGCAACACCAACTGCTCTCTGGGGAAGTCCCATCTACTTCCAAGGTTTCCACTGTTGCATGTGGCACTGGACAGCCATGAAATGTCTTCAGTTAATTAATGTGGTATTATCTTGTGTAGGAGACTGAACACTGAGGTAGAATGCACTGACCATTCTTTCATGTTTCCCCGTCCTGTGTGAACAGCTTAATTGTTCTGTGCCTTATTTACTTCAGAGCCAGGGTGTGGGTGAGGAGATAGGGGAAGATGGTGAGTTCAGTGTTCCTGTAGCTTTGGGTCTGGCTGGGACATCAGAGCGATTCACATGGCTTGTGTGACAGAGGAGCCATGGCCACCACCTTGTTACTGAAACTGGGGGGGAAAAACTCTCTAACGACATTTTTAATGTTAGAAGGCCAAGGCATTACTTTATTTACTGGCCAGGATATTGTTCTRGCCAGGATGTGCCACAGCAATCATCTCATCCACACATAGCCTGGGTGTGCTGAGAGAATCATTCTAGGACACATAAATTTTACAAGATTTTCCCCAARCTTTGTACACTCAAAACCCAYAGAACTCAATTGGTTTAATGTTCATTRGTCCAACATTGCACAGTTCTCMGTATCTGGGTTCCTATTGGATCAGGACTTCTTTGCCTCTGATGCTTATTAGGTCCTTCTAATCTTTCTTTTCCTAGACCAGGTGCCTCTGACCACACCAGGGGTGATGTTCAGGGCTGATGTTCTGTTAATGATCATTGATAGTTCTTGATGGCTGTKGATGTCTGTTGAGATGTTACCTTCATCAGGCTTCACCTGATGGAACAATGCTCTGGAAAGAAACTTTAGCACCCTTCCCTGGGGCAAAGGCAAACAGGATTTTTGACTGAAGTTAAATTAAAAATAAAAAATTAAACTGATATATTTTCCAACAACCTGCCTTGCTGATTTCCTGTGTTTCCATTCCCCCGCCAGGTTACGGACATGCTGCCCCAGGAACRGACGCGGGGAAAGCCTTTTGCATGTTCTACGCGGTCCTGGGAATCCCGCTGACCCTCGTCATGTTCCAGAGCCTGGGAGAGCGCATGAACACCTTCGTCAAGTACCTCTTGAAACGCATCAAAAAGTGCTGCGGCATGAGGAGCACCGAGGTGTCCATGGAAAACATGGTCACCGTGGGTTTCTTCTCCTGCATGGGGACACTCTGCATTGGAGCAGCAGCCTTTTCCCAGTACGAGGAATGGAGCTTTTTCCATGCTTACTATTACTGCTTTATAACATTGACTACGATAGGTTTTGGAGACTATGTGGCCCTGCAGACCAAAGGGGCCCTTCAAAAGAAGCCTCTCTACGTGGCTTTTAGCTTTATGTACATTCTAGTGGGGTTGACGGTCATCGGGGCATTTCTAAATCTGGTTGTTCTCAGGTTCTTGACCATGAACAGTGAGGACGAGAGGCGGGATGCCGAGGAGCGGGCGTCCCTGGCAGGGAACCGCAACAGCATGATTATCCACATCCAAGAGGACTCCCAGCACGGGCGGCCGCGGTACAAGGCCGAAGTGACAGACCTTCAGTCAGTTTGCTCCTGCATGTGTTACAGGTCCCACGAGTACACCAGCCGGGTGGTGTCCCACCAAAATTCGTTCAGCTCGAAGCTGAACCCCCAGTACTTTCACTCCATCTCTTACAAGATAGAGGAGATCTCGCCAAGCACATTAAAAAACAGCCTTTTCCCATCTCCTGTCAGCTCCATCTCACCTGGGTTGCACAGCTTTACAGATAACCACAGGCTGATGAAACGGCGAAAGTCCATTTAAAGGGATTTGTCTTAATTTCGCTTTCCTTGTTTTTTCCCAGTTCTTTGTTGTTTCGGGTTTTTTGTTCCTTGAGTGAGACGGAGCGAGGCCAAAGGGAGCAGAGCAAGCCAGTCCTCCTCTGAGACTCAGCTCTTGAGCATGAAGCATGGATTATTACTGTTCCAGCAAAGTATGCCTTACATTACCCCCTTGGTGGATGTCAGAGGATTCAAGGTGGCGTGAAGTGGGTACCAAATCCAAAGTTGCACACACAGCTGGGAGCCTTCATGTGCCGCTGGCACTCCTGACCTAACAAACTTTTTCTCCTCACGAGCAGGTTGCAGTGTGTGTGCGTGTGCCTGTGTGCGTGCCGGGTGCGTGTTCGTGTGCGTGCGCGTGCAGTTCCACAACCAGTGCCATGTGACAAAAATTAAAAGCATCAGGTATTATTTTTTCTTTTGCCCTTGAAGCAGTTGTGTTCCAGCCTGCTTATTTTTTAGATTGCTTCCAAAAGGAACGGGGAGGGTGGGAG